AATCTTCCGGTAAAGGAGATCCTCTTTTCTAGGACTAGGAATCATTAATACACTTTTCTCGATTGTGTTTTCTATTCGATAACTGTGTAAATCCACTTAAGTATACATTAACATTAAAAGAACTTAAGGAAGAATATTTATATATCTCACATTACCTTGCTATTTTAAATAGTGCACATGCGTGCATCATGTACATTACAATTAATAAAAGAATGCCGATCAATAAGATTGTTCCTATTATGCCAGTTAGTAACTCGTGTAATACTATATAATAAATATATTTTTCTTCATTGACAAAATATTCCGTGATGGTCACAGAATGAAATTGCCGTGATTCGTTTAATGGTAATACAACATCAAGTATTAACGGCAAAGATTCAAATATTATACAAAAAAATAGAACAAAACAGGTAAACACTAAAATAATAACACTTAATACTTGACACTCAATTATTAATTAAAATAATTATGTACATTTGGAAACTTTAATTTAAATCAAATAACATGAATTTTTATTTCAAGATATTAAAAACATTTTTACCTTATCCAATTTTTCTATCATAATAAAAAATAATTAGAAAAGATAATTATGTAATTATTATAAAATATATTATAGTAATTTATATTCTTACTCGTTATAGCTACTATGAATAGTCTCATGTCGTAAGCATATTCTTCTATGATATTAATTTCTAATTTATCCTTCAATGAATTCCAATCATCTTTGATTTGGTCCAATAATTGTTTTAACTATTTGTTAGGTATTTTAATTTATTAATGATTGATAGAATACAATTTACCTAATATATATTGCAATTAAATACTCAAATAAGTAATTTTTCTTAATAAGCTTACGTCATCTGCCTGAATGATGAAAATAATATATTTTATTATGATGTACATAAGAGGGAAGACAAATGTGATAATCTCAAAAAAAAGATTTGCATCATATTGCCTTGTAACAAATGCCAGCAGCTATAAACAATTTAGAATATACATATTTTAAAACATATAATATAATATAATAATATAATATAATAATATAATATAATATAATAATATAATATAATAATATAATATAATATAATAATATAATATAATAATATAATATAATATAATATAATAATTATAATTTCTATGTAGCAAAATATATCTCGTACATGGTGAAATACATTTCATTTTAATAGAGAGGTAAGATTATTTCATTTATAAACAGTTATATAAAAAACTATATAAACTATTATTAAAATATTGTATATTATATTAGAAGAAAAAATGAGAAGATATTAGTAAAAAAAGGTATAAAATGTATATTTAAAGAATTTCAGTGATTAATTATTTTCAAAAATTTATATAAATTTGGCTCAACGTACCTGAGCAATAATAGATGTCAATAAAATACTAGCAAACAATAAATTGTGTAGCCGTGTGAGATATGACTGTTGATAAGGCCATAGGCCAAGTATTTTAAAAATAATACGATAGATCTTGTAATAGTGCTCGTGGAGCGCATGCGTCTTGCACGAGAACTGCGACATTATATGAAAGAAATCTTTAAATGATCGCATTATATTATTCGAAATTTTGTCAATTTAAAGTGATGTATATACATTCACATGATGATATAGAACTGTACAAAAAAGTCGATTATATTTTTTCAATAAGATCATGTATTCATAATATAGCTAAAGTAAATTACTTTGAATTACAGCTAATTTGTAATTGAGAATAATATTTCCTTACTATATTTGCTGACCAAGCATATGCTT